CCTTTTTTAAAGATTATCAGTATATTTGCCCTGTTCCAGTCATCTGGGACCTCTCCCGATTGCCGTGAGTTTTCAAAGATAGTGGCCAGTGGTTCCAGTTGCCTTGGCCAGCTCTCTCAGCACCCTTATGTGCATCGTGTCTGGCCCCATGTACAAGTCCATGTCCAGCTTGTCTAAAAGTTCCTTTTCTTTCACCACTGTCAGCTGCTCACCTCCTCCCCAAACTGCTGCCCAAATTTGTGACCCCAACAAAAAGTGGTAATAGTTTTTGCCGTTTTATCATGGCAGATGTCTGTTAGCTTTATGGCACAAGACCCTGGGCAGCCCAGAGCTGCCTGCACTCTGCATCCACTCCAGACAGGTGCTCCTATGGCTTGAGGGCCCATCCTGCATGCTCCCAGAATTTCCACACAGGATCAGGCCCCTCAAGTCCTGAGTTTCTGCCCAGCTTTCCTCACTTACAGTAATGCGCCCCAAGGAGCCCACTGACATGGCTGACCACTTCAGGTGGTAACATCTATTTATACTCTTAATACTTTTCTTTGTGGCAAGCTTTCTATCTAGAGTTCTATTCTGATGGTGTCCAAGTGTCTATCAGATGCTGTCAGCTGACGAACTATGGTATATTCATGTAAATAGCAAAAAAATTAATGCTTTTACAAAGCGTGTATATTTTTAAATAAGAAAACCCACAGGATTCATTTTTTTGAACCTCCACGTTCTTTTTCATTGATGCTGCTATTGTTGTTTTTTTATTAAAATATTCTAAGTCCTAAATCCTGCCATAGCAGAAGAAGTTACAGGTGTTGAAGGTTCTACTGTATGTGCAAAAAGGATTTTTTTTTCCTTATTGCTCCCATTCCTACCATATTTTCCTGCAGCACCAAAGAATTTGTTTAAAAGATCATAAAGATTTGTTTATTAATGGACTATGAAAAGCCTCCTGTTTGACAAATTGGGAATGATAGCATCTGCATGAGTGCACATTTTCCAGCATATTTTGGGTAAGCCTTCCAAAAAATGTCTATTTTTTTTACCACATTAACCTTTCTGATCTTGCAAATTGTATTCCCTTTGCATCATGCAAAACTATATGCTTTTAAAGATACGCATTTTTATAGGTATTCTATCATTTTGGTTTGAAGTGATGTAATTTTAAATTACTTTCTTTCAGTTAAAAGATGTTTGTTAAAAGAATGTGCAACTTGAGCTGGAATCATGACTATGCTCTATGTGGAAATGTTCAACTTTATTTAACAGGTCAAGTGCCTTTAAATGTTCTCAAGTTGTTCTGAAATACGGCCTCTTATCCTAATGGTGAAGAGTGTTTCTCATTCATATAAAAATAAAATGAATCACTTTTGTTATTAAGACTTCTAAATACCATGCTTTAAGGGTAAGAAACAAGATGATCTCGTTACCATATTTCCTCACGTACAGTGTGCCCCAGAATAAAGACAAAATGAAGAAAAAAAGATCTTTCCTTGTAGTAACTCAGTAGCAGCAGCTAGGGAGCTGAGCCTGCTTACTGTTCTGCTCCCTGTGGATTGCATGCAGACTTCACTTTTGCTTTCCCTGGCAAGCAGCAGAAACAAACTGCTCTCACCATATTTCCTTAAATATAATGCATATTCCAATTTCCAGAAGTTGTTTTTTGAGGAAAAAGGGCACATGCTGCATGTGAGAAAATATAGTATTTTAACCCCTTCAATCAATTCATGTTTGGCTGTTGCTTCTAGGGTCCCAAGGCTCTTCCGCCTCTGGCTTTTGCTTTCTGTTCCTACCCATTGGTTGGGGCTGGGGGGGGGTGGGGGGAAGAGCAGGATAGGTTGACTAGTGGGAGGCTCAGCGAGTCTGCACAGCTCATGAGTCAGTGAGGAGCTTGTGGCATGCAGTCCCCAGCCAGTCAGAAGCTGGACAGTCTAGGCTAAGCATTACTCAGAGTACTTTCCAGCCCTTCCTTTGAAGCTGGCTCACTGGGCAGCCAAAAGAGGGAGACATATAAGGGGTCAGGAAAAAGAGAGCAAGCCAGAGGAAAAATGTCTCAGTGAGATACCCCAAGGACATTGCCCTGAGGCAGGAACTATCCCACTGCTGCTTATCCATTTTATCCAATAAATATTAGATTCAAGATAAGAAAAGCCATTGCACTTAGGCTTATCAACGTGAAATGGGATTAATTCCTATCATGTTCAATGGTAAAACAGCATTCTGTATAGTACACACCAGCATATAAGCTTACTTCTGTTTCTTTGAGCAGGAATTATATCTTCTGTAGACTCCCTGTCACAGCTTCATTGAAGGGTTCCCGTTATATCAAACTGCAAAACAAAAACAGAAGTTTGCATGAGTCTTGCCTGTACCAGCAAGTACACATGCACTGTCACCAATATGTTCACCTTAATACACAGCAGTTGTGTGCATTTTAAAGTTTGAAACTACACATTTCTAAATGTGGCTACCTAATGCAGTTGGTGATACTGTTGTATTTCAGGCCAGAACCACCACGCAACCCTAGTAATGCAATGTTTTAATAGTTCCCTGGACAAAATTTTAAAATGTAAGTGATGCATTAGGAAGCTAGTGGGACATGGACTCCTAAGAACTTCGGCCCTTAAAAAGAACTTATTCTTCATGTAGATGCTACAAGACTAGGTTCAATATCAATAGGTTTGACTTAAGCACATGAAGCTACCTCAGAAAGCATTCCAGTCTGCCTCAGCAACTTTTTGCCAACACAGTGATGGCATTTCATTTTGTAGCACTGCTCCTCATTGGCTTTATGCTGGTGGAGTCTTGTGTTCCTTGCCTTTTGCCCTGACCTGTAGCAAAGCCTCAAACAGAACATTAAAAAGATCAGTTAAGTTTCTGTTGTCACTACCCATACCCAGAATCCCCTGTGGTTTGGCGGTAGACTCCTTGTGCGCCATGCAGTGGATCTGGGTTCAATTCTTGGATGTGTATGTAACTACAGCCCCCGAGGCACTGAACATCTGGACTTGGTCTGGCCTTTGGATTCCTTCTCAATGGCCTAAAGTGGGGATGGGCAGCCTCAAGTCCTCCAGCCTCCTGCCTAGACATAAGTGTTCGAGGTGTGGGTGACCTCTTGCACATACACCCTGATCCTAAAGGATCAATAGCCTGAGTTACATCATTAATCCTGGTTAGTATGTAGTCAAATATCAACAGTCTGAGAACCAGGCTTCTGGTAGTGGATATTAGTTTTTGTCAGAGCTCACCATCATGCCACTTTCCTTCTCCCCTGCTCCAGTGATGAAACATCTATTTTTTTTTCCTTGTATCTATTCTACCTTTGCTATACTTACGCACATCATCAGTATTGCCAGTTTCCCAATATAGCGGTACTATAAGTTGTTATTCTGGGTTCAGACTGAATCACTACTTGTTAGTAGTTGCATATCATGAACCTTTTTCAATAACAAGCAGGATAAGTTGCCTAATTATGTCTGCGTATTTTGGTGGTTTCTCTCAAATTCTTGTGATTTAACTTTTGATGGGGGATTGAAGTAGTGACTTCCAAAGCTAAATGCTTTATCCCTACAGCCTCAGATACGAAGCTGATTGCTGTAGCAAACCTATATTCTCTGTGGATCAGAAACTATTATATCCACCAGTGGTGCTGCAATTCACTTAATAAAGTAATAGGTCTTTCCACTCTTCTACGAACCTACGAGCCACTTTAATGCAATACAGCACAATAGGACAAATTACCTCATCAATCAATTTTCATATTCCCATTTTAGATTTTAAGTCTTAAAATTTTCTCTCTGTAATATCTCCCTGTAGTTTGTAAAACTTATACTTTACAATAAAATAATTTCTACAGAGCACAGCTGAGCTTTTTTTAATATGCAACACTTGCTATGTTAATTGGTGCTACTTAACTGAAAGTCTGCCATGTCTTCATGAGAGAAATCAGGCAAATATCGGATCTGCGTGCCTTTGCAGGCAGTAAGGCTTTCGGCTCTAATAAAACTTTAAGTACAAGTCAGGAATGCACTTCCTGGGACCAGTTTCCATTACAGCCAGCGAGTAGGATCTGATTCCCTGAGTCTGGGTAAGGAGGAACTATAGTATATATTTTCATGTCTTCTAGGCAGATTTTTTTACATTGATACCAGATCCTATTCCTGGTATCAGAAATCTGACCCTGCTCAGGTCCCTGAAAAACTGTTAATGCACCTACAAACATCTTAGTATTAAGGTTAAGTCACCAAAAACACTGAGAACCCATCTACCTTTTGCATTAATGCTATTTAAGAGACTCAAGCAGGATGGAATAGAGTCACATTTAGGTACCCAAACAAGCAGTGTAATCTAACATACATTTAAAACATACATTTCTCCTTTTGTGCTCTGCTTCTGATTTTGGCAATCCCTGCTATGGGTTTGCTAGCTGTCTTTTTTTTTTTTTAAACATTCCATTTACATTTGTCTTTTTGTCTCCCCCCTCCCTTCCCCCTCTGTGTGTATGTAAAAATTGCGATGGAGCTGCTAAATGGAGTGAACAGGGGAAGGTTAACATTTCCCAAATATACTAGAAAACCTTACTTCTGTACAAGAGTCCCCAACCGCACATAAGCCTGTGAGATTCAGTGAGGGTAGCTCCAATTGGCTGAACTCATTTTCTTGAGCTTAACTTCATTAGAAATGAAAGTCTACTTTTACTTAAGAAGTGCTATATTAGGTCCAGCATTCTGTCTATGACAGTGGGAGAAATGGATGCTATACAGGGACAGCATTGAACTGAATACATCTAGAGTGATAGATCCCTTATTCAATAATGTCCTTAGTGTCCACCATTATTGGTTTTGAGATGCCAGAGGGAACATCTCCAACCATACTTCTGACCTAATAAGTGGGCCTGAATTTTCAAAGTACAGCATCCTACTCAGTGACTGGAGAGAAAGACTTTCCAGAGGTAGTCAGGCCCATGGGACAGGCCATCAGACTGAAAAAGAGAATGTGTTCAGCTCTGCTACCGACCTTTTGTATGAACTTGGATCAAGATATTTCATCTTGGATCAAGATTTTTCTCAGAGCCTTGCTTGTTCCATCTGTAATACCACTTATTTATTCATTCTTGGAAATCCACACATGTAAAGTGCTAGATGACAACTAACCGACATAATTAACACCACTGGAAAGAAATTATTAAACAAACTGAAGGAAACTGAATTAATTGCAATATATTCATAGTACACACTATGAAAAGTCATGTAAACTCCATAAATCTAGGAAAAATGTTAAGAGGATGTTATGTCACAGAATAAAATGTTTTTTTTATAAGGAGAGGTTAAACCTGCATTAATTCCAGTAGACCATGTAGATGTGGGTAGACCCCACTGTCCATTCCATGTCCACTTGAGCACTCCAAAATGTTCATCTTTCTCTGGTCTTGACTGGTTTCATTTTATGGACTACTCCCATTTAGGTATTCTTTTTCATCTTTACCAATCCTATTGCTGTGAATTCTCAGTGTGGTTTAGAGTCTAGTCTGAAATGTCATGGTAAGTTTAATATGTTACTCTTGATTCATTTTCTGTTAACAGGAAATTATTTTATTTTAAAATATCTCGTTCTTGAACATAGGTAGGCTAAACTTACCATGGTAAGTTTAGCCTACCTGTGTTCAAGAACGAGATATTTTAAAATAAAAATCCTCATTAACAAAACTCTAATACATGGTCTGCACTATTTATTACTGTTGTACCCTACTTGGAGTTGTACAATAATTATTTTGGGGTTTTTGTTTAGCTTATGGACATTTTCTATAAGAAAAAGTTTCTTTGGCTTTATTTTTTTTTTTAATTAAAAGACAACTATTAGAAATCACTGGGCTGAAATCAATGCATTTCAACAAAGTGAACACATGGTCATTATAACACAACCAATAAACAAAAGGAGCAAAGAAAGAGTAGTAGAAAAATGATAGGATAAAAACATGGGAAAAATGTCTTCCAGTCTGAAGTGGTGATTACACTTATAAGAGTTAAGTTTGCATATACAGAAAAAAAAATGAATAAGAAAATGAAGGTCATCAGAGCTGAGCCACAACATATGTTTTTTAAGTTAACTATTTTCTTTCTTTACTGTAAGATTCCATTAAGTGTATGACTAAGATTCACAGTTTACAAACCAGAAACTAAGAATACACAACTTTGGAGCACTTGCCAATAGCTACAGCTTGAAACTGCCAAAATAGCAGAAGCAAAGAGAACCAGCAGAAGCATGCAGAAAGGTCTATATAAAAAATTCTTGGTGTCAAAAATTCTTCTGACATGGTTTATTTGGTGCTTCTTGCTGTCACCTGATGAGTGCAAGTCATCCAAGATCCAGAGAAGCATATTTGAAGTAGTTTAAAAAAAAAATGCTGTATGCATTCTAATGTGCAAAATGTTATTTACAACACTGGACTTCTTAACCAAAATAAAGGTTTTCAACCAAAAAAATGATTTTAAATTATCTTAAAAGTAGCCTCCTTTAGCCAGTCATAAAAGGCAAATCATTTGGAAAGAAAAAAAAAATCAATTATGCTTCAAAAAGGACACAGTAAAAAATGTATACCCCAAGGGGGCAGGACAAGGGATTGAGCAGGTCATGAAATGTGTTTTGCTTATTTTATTGTCATTGTTATCACACAGGCTTCTTCCATGTCTTAAGCTGTGCAATGCTTGGAATGCAGATGGAACAGCTTCCTAGGATCTTCAGGAGTGATGTTATAGAAGTAAAGCCATACCAAGTCCTTGGTGACCTGCCACTTTACTTTCTGCTCTGCATCGGCTGCCTGGAAACAGTAAAGTGACATTTACCTATGCCTTGTAGTAGAACAAATATTTTATATCATGTTACTTTTTTCTTCCTAATAAAATAAATTTTAAACAAAGTGAAATCATATTAATGTTTTACCAGAATGACTGCTTTCTTAGAAACCACCTACGAACCACTTGAAAATGTTAAAAACCTTAACTACAGTGTCAATTAAAAAAAAAGGGAACATTTTTCTACTTTAACTGATTGCTTTAAGGCTTGTGAATTGTGCTTCAATTTACTCGATTCCAGGACAAAGTATATCACCCCATTTAACACAGGGGAAAAAAGCTCATCTTAGAATTGAGTATAAGGTAGGGGGACAAGCAGCTGTTGCAGCTCCTGCTTCTGCCCTGACTCGCTTCTTCTCCCCATCTTCCAGTCTGGTAGCAGTGGTGAAGGCAGCACCTCCATCTGGGCCCCAGAGCTGGGACTAGAGCTGACACAGCAATGCTGCTGCCGCTGCTGCTGCTAGTAGTGAGCTGGGCTGGGGCCAAAGCAAGCACATGCTCCGTGCCCTGGGCTGAAGCGGGGATGGAGCCTGCTGGTGTTGGAACAAAGGGAAGTGGCAGGGTAGGAGGGGAGGCAAGTCAGGGGACAGAGGTGATGGGTGAGTTAAGTAGGAGGGGTAGGCAGGGGGTCTGAGGCTAAAGGGGGGGCCAGGCACAAGGGGGGGCAAGTTGTGGAATGGACAGGTGGCAGGGGGCAAAATGTGGGTGCGGGGCAAGGTGCAGGGATCAAGCTGCTTGACCCCCTGCAACAGCCTCCCCCCCCACCTGTTTCGCTACTGCCTTCCCACCTCCTGCCCACCTACTATCCCCCATTTTCCCCCTCATTCTGCCCCTCTACTGTCTCCCCCAGTGCCTGCCTCCCCACCACAGCCTTCCCCACTGCAGCAGTGGAGGGGACAAACTTAAGATAACTTTCCAATAATTAAATTTTATACATGGAAAATTATGATAAACTCATAAATTTTCTGTGTATAGCATCTAAATATTGAAGGGCTGTCACTTGAATTCAGGTAAATATGGTAATTTTTGTCACTTAGGCCTGGGGTAGAAATTACCAGTGTGCACGCACACACATCCACCCACCCACTGACCCCCTTTAATAGTCTGAAATCAAACTGATTGTGTTGCCCCGTCTTGTTATAAAAATTACTCTACTAATTTCCCATTGAAAGTGGAAGGTTTTGTTCCCTACTTGAGATTCTTCGTTGTACACTCATACCCTCCCCCTTTTTGGAGATCCTTTAGGTCCCTCACTCAGGCACTTTTGTTTAATAAATCTATCCCTAAATCTCTGCATTAAGGATGTTTATATTGTATATGACATTCAACTTAGTGTAAACTTATTACTTTCAATTTTATTTACATTGAATGCTCTTTCACATGACCCTCTGGGCAAACAAACTGGAGATTTCTGTGAAATTTCAGAGGGAATATTCCTTTAAGGACTATAAGATGATTCATACCACTCAAAGCTTTTGTTTCATTATCTGAAGACACAGGCAGAAAACACCAGCAATTTACAGTGAAAAGTTTCCTAACAACCCAACACTTGACAAAGCTCAAGTTCTTTAGTAAACACAGTCTTCTTTTGGACTCTGAAATTCTCTCTCTCAGTTATTTCCTATATTGGGTATACACCATATACCAAAGCTAGGAAATCTGACAAGCTATTTAATCTTCTTATACTGTTCGAGTAAATAGTATTTCTTACCCTAAATCCGCTGGACTAGTTTTTTCCAGAGGATGTACTCGTTTTTTTGGTTTTCTGTGGAATTCCAGCAGAAGGCTCCACAATAGCTCCTTTAAAGAAAAAAAGAAAAGAAAACCCAGTGCTGTACACATCAATAGTTCTTATATAAACTGAGTAATTTCAAAATACATATAAACACACAGGTATCCATCAATCTATTGAGATGCAGAGATCACTATCCTGAGCTATATATATATCATTCTGGTTTTGTTATACTGCAAATAGTTATTACATTAACTTTTTCTTAAATTATTCTTTTTAATCTATAAGGTGCAACTCTACTCTGCCTCCTGCCTATACAGCATTGCCATGATTAACTGTAACTGAATACCCAAGACAAACTTTGTCACACCCTGTAGAAAGGTATTAAAGAGAACAGCTTTAGAAATGTAGTCTGCATTGCTAAGTTTGTCTTGAGTCAAAAAATAAAGGAAGAAATTTATCAAACTCAACAATGGATGGAAAATACAGTAAACTTACTACATCAAGGATGTATAGCACAAGCTTTCATAAATAGAGGGCTTACATTCAAGTTCATTTTTAAAGTGTTGTCAGCTAAGAGCTACTGGAAATTGCAGAACAAGAAATCCACAGATTGGACTGTGTTAAGCATGGCCGAAACCAGTGGTCACCAACCCATCAATCCTGATTGACAGGTCAATCCTGGAGCACGGGCGGGGTGGGGCGGGGGCATGGGCCCTGGGTTCTCCGCCGGGCTGCACCCAGTGGCGGGAGCCCCACCACGCACTCCTGGATTTAATCTAATTTCTGCCCCACAGCTTCAAAGCACATATAACTGCTAACATCTTCTGCTTACCCAGATCCATTTTATTTCACATTAACATTTGCCAACAGAAAGTGGTTTGATCCATCAGATTGCAAATTGCTGCCAGCTACAAATTAATCAGTTTAATACAGAGAAAAGGAATAGTGGTATAATGCTCTTCTTATCATTCTTGCTAACCGTATCTTGTTTTTATTCCCAATCTCTTTTTTGAAGAAAATCTCGTATTTACTCAAATACAAGATGAGGTTTGTTCCTCCAATCAGCATGCGGAAAAAGGGCCCTTCATTTTACATTTACATACCAGGAAACCTTGTTACATACATTGGCTATCATTTAACTGCTGCCAAAACCAGCATGCACTCAGTAATGGAAATCAACTGTGAAGCTGATTAAATGCAGCCAACGCTGAGCATGACGATAAAACACATGGCCCATATTGATCCACACAGTATTTCAATTCATAAATTGCCATCTTCAAATGTTTTCTTCTGGTGGAAGCTAGTCCCTTGACCAAAAGTAGGTTTCTCACCTTCCATACCACTAATGTTGCAGAAGTAGTTTGGTTCTTAGTGTCTGTGGGTATCTGTACACATGCTGGACACCTGCTCTAACGTGTTCTAATTAACTGAGTCTGCTGGAGCGTTCTAATTAGAATGCTTCAGCAGCTTTGATGTCATGTGTATTCAGTGTCCCCGCATTTCAAAATGGCTGTGGGGGCACTTAACTAAAGCTCATCAAATGAGCTTTAGTTAAAGCACCCTGCCACAATTCTGGAGCATGGGATGCTGAATACACAAGATGCTGTGGGTGTTTTGATTAGATCAACTCCCAAGGGTGCATGGCAGGGAAGCAGTCTGAGGCAGCGCAACCCCAGACACTTCTCTTCCATAGCCCTGAGACACGTGTGCAGCCGGGCCAGAGCTCCAGTCCCTGATGTAGCTGTTTGCAGCTTGTTCACTGCTGACTGAGCAGCTCAAGTTCTGTGGTGGTAATGGCTACATGTGCCGCAGGGCACATGGTGAAAGGGCTGGGGTTGCATTGCAACAACAACAAGGGTCAGCCCCTGGCACACCAACATCTTCCAAGTCCAGGTTCTGGGGTTTTTTGGCATTCGACCCAAAAATGTTGCTGATCCCTGCTCTAGTACTTGAAGCCATTACCAGGTTCGAGAGCAGGGGTAGGCAACGTTTTTTGGCCGGAGTGCCGAAAAACACCATAATGCCTATCTCAGAAGGTGCCGGAGTGCTGGCATGGCAGACAAACAAAATGAGGGCAAGGGGTACATTGCAGGATGCCCTGACTTGTGCCCCTTGCCCCCCACTCAAATCCTCTGCCCCCCACCCAAAGCCTCTGCCCCCTAGCCCTACTGCCCCGCACCCAAAGCCCCTGGCCCCCCAGCCCTACCGCCCTTTTCCCCCTACCCTGGGCTCTGTGGCTGCTAGCAGCTACCCC